TCTGACCAAACTGCGGGAGGCAGTGGAAGACAGAAGTGCCTGGCGTGCTCTAGTCCATGGGGTCACGAAGAGTCGGACACGACTAAACGACTAAACAACAACAATGTTGGTTATATTGGGACGCGGGTGGCGCTGTGGTCTAAACCACTGAGTCTTGGGCTTGCCGATCAAAAGGTTGGTGGTTTGAATCCCCATGACAGGGTGAGCTCCCGTTGCTCGGTCCCAGCTCCTGCCAACCTAGCAGTTCGAAAGCAACCCAAAAAGTGCAAGTAATAATAGGTACCATTCCAGCAGGAAGGTAAACGGCATTTCCGTGTGGTGCTCTGGTGTCGGTGTTCCGTTGTGCCAGAAGCAGCTTGGTCATGCTGGCCACAGGACCCAGAAAAACTGTCTGCGGAGCGGACAAACACCCGCTCCCTCGGCCTGTAAAGCAAGATGAGCACCACAACCCCTGAGTCGTTAACTATCAGGGGTCCCTTTACCTTTACCTTTATGTTGGTTATATGAGGCTGATTTATCCCACAAGCTGTTCTTACCTTAGTTACTACCACCACTCCCACACGCTCACACACATCCCTCTGCATAATCAAATGACGAGTGATGTGAAAAACCTTTGAATGGTTAACAGCCAGGTAAGGATTAGCTGTTTGAATCCAAGCTGATGCAGTTACCTGGTCCTCTCCTAATTGTCACCTTAGCCCACTGCACACTAAGAAAGTGAACTGGGGAAGGAAGAGGCTTCTAGATAAAAGCTCTGTGTTAATTTAAAACAGAGAGCATTCCCCACCACAACCTGTAGAACTCCTTGGAACTTCTTCCTCTTCCCGTTTTCTTGGTATTTATATCCCATCCCCAGTGAGTTGAGCTCCCTTGCCCTGCTCCTGTACAGAGTACAAGCAGCTACAGTTCCTCTAATCCAGTCAATTTCCCCCCAGAGGAGATCTATGCCACTCCTCTTCTACTGGAAATAGACACGTTAGGAGATGCTTCTGCACAATGGGATCAATTTATATCCAAGCAGCTTTTTATAGCCGACTACTGCAATCTTTCTTCTGAAACTCTCTAATGGCCTTATCTGCACTATACATTCAAAGCAGTAGCATACCACTTTAAAGAGCCATGTCTGTCCCACAAAGAGCCATGGGAGCTATAGTTTGCTAAGGAGTTATTAGGAGAGCCACATCTACTCAGAAAGAAGTCCCTAGGGAGCTTACTCCCAGATTAGGGGAGTTATGGTTGCAGCCATTAGTTAGAATCCCTCAGAACCTGCTTATGGCTCCTATGCTGGTTTAACGCTGCACCTGAAAAAGAGGTGGCGTGTGTTAAAACACCCTCATTGAAATTAACAGAAGAGCTAAGAAACAGTGTCTTCCCATCTCCTTCCACTCCTCCTATGCAGCCGCTACAGACCATAGGATCCCTACTAGTTCTTCAACCACAGTAAGTGCTGCACCAACACTCTGTCACTGGGGTGTGTCCCTTCTCCACAGTGCATGCTGTCAGCTTCATCCCTATTATCTGCAGGTAGGGTTAGCAAAGACCCCATCATGAACCACTGGAGAGCTCCTGCCTGTTGAATATACAAATAGGGAGTAAGATTAGCAGCAGTCAACATGGTGCCTCCAGGTATTGTTGGACTCTTGATTCCCATCAGTCCCAGCAAGCACGACCAGTGGTTGGACATGATGGGATTTGTAGGCTAAAAATGATTGATGGGCACCAGAAGCATTTTTACTTAGCATTGTAGGGGAGGATATTAACAGACAGGACAGTAAATTGTTTTTATATGCAACAGCAGCAGCAAGAATATTACTGGCACAAAAACGGAAACAAGAAGAATTACCGACGAAAGAAGAGTGGCAAATGAAATTAATGGACTATGCAGAATTAGATAAAATGACAGGAAGGATCTGAAACCTGCCGGACCAGAGATTCTTAGAGGACTGGAGTAAATATCTGAATTATTTGAAGAGCAACAGATTACACTAGTAGGACTGCAAGAAGTTTTGTAAAGAGGACTGTGTGAAATATTGCAATGAAGATTATGAAGAGAGTTATTAGTTAAGAATAATTAAAAGTAATAGAGAAATTAAGAAATGTAGATTAAGTGACAAAGACTGAAAAATCTTCAGATGCGGTTGATGGAAGTCTAAAACATTGTATAAGATAAGAAAATAAATGACTGTTGGAAATGATATGTATGTGTATATATATATATATATATATATATATATATATATATATGACTGGTGGGCACCCCATTGGCTATCCCTGAGCTAAATGCCCCCTTCGTCTGACTCTGTATGAGGCAGCTTCTTATGTCAAGGGGAAGACATTAGATGGATGAGTGGATTAGTCATGGCTACAGCTCTCTGGCCTCATAAATAGCAGCTCACTGGTATTGTGGGGCCCTGGTGTCAGGTGGCTTCTGTGTCGCACATCTGGCAGGGTAGGGTGCCATGCAATGTTTCGCCATCACTGGACATGGCCAGCTCCTTCTATACCTGGTTGGTGTGAGTGTTTTGTCAGCACATCGTTCCCTGATTGATGTCTCACCATGGATTCTGTAAAGTGGCTGCTAGGGTTGCTATATTCTCTGTTTGCAGTGCTTTTGATTCCTTGACTTTTCCCGCAATGGAGTGCTCTTCCCGTTTTAGCTCCTTGACATCTTTTGCTGAGCAGCTCAGCTTTACGTTGCATTAACATATTATAGCACCTGAACAGACTCATTAGCTCTGTCTAGGTTTGACAGTCTTTGAAGCAGCAGTTTGCTCTGTACCAATTAGCAGGAGACTATGCTTAAGCTGTGGAAAAAGCTCCAGCTGCTGCTGATTTCTGTATATCAAACCAAAGGATAGGAGGAGACCAGGCCAGTTTGGTTTGGGGTTTTTTTTTCTGGCCAGTTAGCAAGCCTAGCTATACTGCATGTAACGAGGGTTGGGGTTGACATTGTTCAGTGTGCAAATTGCCCCTTTGGGCTTTAAACTGATTTTCACAATGTGAACTCTCTAGCATGAATTTTCCAGGCAAAAGACTACATTCCTCCTCAGAGCTGCCCAAAAGAAAAGGAAGCGTGAACGTTTCTACAAAACTGTAGCCTAATTTTCAAGAAAACAGAGATTTCCCAAACAGAGAAAGCCAAAACATTTGGATTGTGGTAATAAACGAGACCGTTTATAAAAAAAAGAAAAGAAAAGAGCTGTGGAAGAAGCAAGGACTGTGATCCTGAAAGCAATTTATGCATAATAGCTTCTAGATGCACTCATTCACACTCATATAATGATGTTCCCCTGGCTTTCAAAAGCAGCATTTAAGGGGTGATGCTTTAAAAAAAACTCCACATCAAAAGACTCACTGTACCCACAAAACTAGAAACACACCTCTGTGGAAAGAAACACATGGTGTTTGGATAACTAATGGTCAAATCATGTGGATGTGTACATGCATTTCCAAGGGTCAGGGGTATTTATAAGTTTATGAATTAAATTATATATTATTATTATGATATATTCATCTATGCCCTGCCTTTTTCCCTGAGGGGCCTCAAGATGGCTAAACACAGTTAAACCCAGCATTCACTCCCACAAGAAGGGATTGCATGGCTTTAAAAGAGGAAAGGACAAATTCATGGAGGATAACACTATCGATCGCTATACTCTGCTTTCACTATCAGAGGAAGAATCCCCCTGAATACCAGTTTCTGGGACTTGCAAGTGGGTCCGATTCTGCTTTGGGTTTTGGGTTTCCCATGGGCATCTGGTTGGCCACTGTGAGAAGAGAGTGCAGGATTAGATGGGTTCTTACATTCTTAAGAGCGATATCAGTTAGCATCAATGAGCACAAATCTGGATGGATTCCCAAAGCCTTGTCTCTCTTAAATATAATCAGAACAATAGGAAACTCCAGCCAAGTGCCACCTATTAGCTAAACAAGCTCTTACTGTACTTTTGCGATTCTTAAAGGTTGAGGATTCAAGTGGAAATGCTGCAGACACTCAAACTTTTATCCAGATTTCACCAAGAGCTGAGTTTTCTAGCTCTGATTCTTTGGCATGAGGGGAAAGATACTTTGTGAGAGACAGTGATAAAAGTGGAATACTTCACCTCATATATATTTTCCTGACCTAAATTACAGACTAGTTCTGTAGCAGACAGCGAAGACCTGCACTTTGGAAACAGAGAACACTGGTCTCCAAACATAATAACACTACATAAAGAGTTATGCCCTCTAAATTATTTTCCTTCCCAAGCTTCCCTAGCTATGAATGGTTAAGACAGGTTTCCTTCACAGGAGGATGAACCAAATGCTTATTTAGTGAGAGAGCATCTCACCCTTGAGGTGAACGCAAAGAATATTCCACACACTACAGAGCAGCACCACAATTTGCAGTTGTCTGGCAGATACCAGGAATTACAAGAAGTAAACACTAAACAGCAGCAGAACGAGTAGGGTGTGCCTTTTTTTAAAGAAAAGAGATTATTTTACCGACTCTGACACAGTATTTCTTTTGCCAGTCTTCACCTGCTTCAAGAGAATTATTAGATTGTATAATTTTTTGGAAGGTTAGTCTACTGCATCCAAAACAACAGAGAGTCTTGTAGCCCCTTCTATATATAGCCATAATCTTTTCTGGAACCTGGTCTACTTCGTTCTTTCTCTCAGACGTATAGTCATACATACACTGTCACACACAAACACACAGGCAAACTCAAACACACTTGGCATTTTAGCTCAGGCCTCCAGTATCATTTGGAGTGCCTCTCCCAATGTGAACTTACCCTGACCCTTTGGTCCTCATCTTCTTGCTTCCTTCATATGGCCCCTCTGAGGGAAGTTCCTGGTGAGGTCCTCCCCAGCATCAACATTAACATCTTTTGGGCGGCAGGAAAAAACTTATTTCTTCTCCCAGACATTAGGAACCTAGGAAGCCTCCTTATTGTGGGTCAGACCACTAATCCATCACTCCTGGGTTTCGGGCAGGAGTCTTTCCCAGCCCTACCTGAAGATGCTTTGGATTGAGCCTGGGACCTTCTGCTTCCAGGGCAGATGCTCTACCACTGAGCTATGGGCCTTTCATTTGACAGATCATGTTAATAGCTCAACAGTTTATTGATGGAATGGTTTCTGCTGCTGAAATTTCCTCATACGGTTGGGTCTGTGTTACAGGTTTTGTAATGGTTTTATTGTATTAGATTGTTGTCTGTTTTTATGCTAAGCATTTGGCTCTTGATTTTTTATTTTTTATTTTTTTGGCAAGTCATTTAGAGACTTTACTTTTAATCATTAATAACTGAAATAAATGATACAAATAAAAAATAACTTCCAGCCCTCCTCACTTCGGAGCTGGGGTGTGGGTTGGAAATACTACCTTTTATTTTGACAGATCATTCTGGGCAAAATGAAACCCAGGTGTGGGATGGGCAGAAATGTTGCCTTTTACTCCTAAAGAGCAGGTAGGCAGTTTTATTTTCTGTCTTAGCACTGTGATGTTTAGCACTAAGATAAGGTTGCCATATTTCAAACAGTGAAAATCCAAACAGAAAAGTTATAGGGCTTTGTTTGGCCAAAGTTGTTCAGCTTTTTTATAGTTTTGACCAAATTCGCCAAAAAAAGGGAAGCTTTTTTAGCTACAGTGGTACCTCGGGTTAAGTACTTAATTCGTTCCAGAGGTCCGTACTTCACTTGAAACTGTTCTTAACCTGAAGCACCACTTTAGCTAATGGGGCCTCCTGCTGCTGCCGCGCCGCCAGAGCCCGATTTCTGTTCTCATCCTGAAGCAAAGTTCTTAATCTGAAGCACTATTTCTGGGTTAGCGGAGTCTGTAACCTGAAGTGTATGTAACCTGAAGCGTATGTAACCTGAGGTACCACTGTATTTTTAAGGAAGATTGGCAAAAATGACACTGCTGACATGGGTTGCCATACATCCACATTTTACCAGACATTTTTAGAGAGATAGTTTGGCAGTGAAGTACACTAACAGAATCCCTACCCTGTCTTGGGAACCCAATGCCAGATACAGACAGCAGGCTGCTAGCTTGAAACTGCAGTCAGGCTTGGTCCCCTCTAGTAAGCCAACATCTCTTTGAGAAGCATCATAACTAGAAGGCAGGCAGGCAGCAAACAGTACAGCACACTAACTTTCTACTTGGGTATAAGGCCTGATCTTCTCTTCTTTTTAAACAAATCCATAAGAAACCTATAAATTCTCACTGGTAGTGTTGGCCTTCTGGAGTTCACACAGTTTTTCAACATTCTTCGTTTTCTTTGACCAAGCCTGTCTTAATTATTTCCATCATTTCTGACTAATTCTTAACATGAATCACAGAATCATAGGTCTGGGAAGAAACTTCAGGGTCCTCAGTTTCAACTGCCTGCATTAAATCAAACTTACCCAGTCTCAACCACCCCTGACAGATGTTTGTCCATATGGATATGATCTGTAGAGGTCTTTGGCTCCTTCACTGAAAACTGAGAAATTCTGCAGAGAGCCCTTTGACCCAGTAGAAAGTATGAAGTCATGTTGGACTCGGTTCATGTAAGAACACAAGGGCATCTAGACTAGCATCCTGTTCTCACTGTGGCCAGCTAAAGGCTCATGGAAACCCACAAGCAGGGCTTAAGCCCAAAAGCTCTCTTCCCCACTTAGGATTTTCAGTAAGTGGTATTCAGAAGCATACTTCTTACAACAGTGGAAGTAGAACATAGCCATCATGGTTAGTAGCCACTGATCCTCCATGAATTTGTCTAATCCTCTTTTAAAGCCATCCAATAGGACTCACCATAGTTTATTAACACGTTTCACTGTGCCCCCTTAGCGAAAATACATACCCTGTCCAACTTCTCAGGGCTTTCTCCATACCTTCTCTTTTATATACAGTGGTACCTCGGGTTACAGACCCTTCAGGTTACAGACACTTCAGGTTACAGACTCTGCTAACCCAGAAATAGTACCTTGGGTTAAGAACTTTGCTTCAGGAAGAGAACAGAAATCGTGCGGTGGCGGCGCAGCGGCAGCGGGAGGCCCCATTAGCTAAAGTGGTACCTCAGGTTAAGAACAGTTTCAGGTTAAGAACGGACCTCCAGAACGAATTACGTTCTTAACCCGAGGTACCACTGTACGTGAAATGGTGATGAAGGCATATTTACCCAAAATTTAAAAAGTGACCTGCAGTCTAAAAAGATCGTCACCCCCTGCTACAACCCCCATATAATTAATCACAAAGTCCTTCCTAAGTGTGATTTAGTGCATGGAGCATAATTGCTAAATGGCGGCCCCTGCCCCTGTGTGGGAATAAATCCCATATATTTCAGTGGCTTAGTTCCACATGATGTCCACAAATCCAAACCCTTATAGGACATGGGCAAGGAACCTGTGGCCTTCCTGAAGCTGTTGGACTCCAGCTCCCATCAGTCCCAACCAGCATGGCCAATGGGTAGGGATGATGGGAGGTGTAGTTAGCAAACCCTGGATGGCCACAGGTTCCCCAACCCCTGGTGTAAGACTTGGAGATTCTCATTCATTCCAAGCAGCATATTTGGCCCGTGTTATGCAGGGTAAGACCTTGTGTGAATACATTAAGTTTCCTGTCTTGTGGAAAATAAATAGGTAGTTACAGTGGTACCTCGGGTTAAGTACTTAATCCGTTCTGGAGGTCCGTTCTTAACCTGAAACTGTTCTTAACCTGAAGCACCACTTCAATGAGGCTAATGGGGCCTCCTGCTGCCGCTGCACCGCCGGAGCACAATTTCTGTTCTCATCCTGAAGCAAAGTTCTTAACCTGAAGCACTATTTCTGGGTTAGTGGAGTCTGTCACCTGAAGTGCATGTAACCTGAAGCATATGTAACCTGAGGTACCACTGTATTCTGGAAACTCTTGTTTGTAGGAATGGGTCTGTGCTTTAGAAAAATCCCATGTTTAAAGGAAATAAAACAACGTATCAGTAAAATCTTCAAAGACAGCTGATAGTAAGCTAAACTGCTCAGCTTTACTGAAGGCTCATAGAAAATAACATTTTAAAAAAACCAATCTTCTGGTGGGTGACACATATTCAATGTGTGCTTGACAAGGGGAAAATGCATTACAAAATCTCTTTGAAGCTTGATATTTTTTGCTAGATACTCATATTTTCCAGCCACACTGCAACCCTTGCTATCACTACTGCTGATTCATCCCTTTGTGATGCAGGATAAAATGTTTTATGGGAACAGTAGGAGACCAGCACTAAATTATTTTGTCTGGCCCAAATGGCTAGGTGGCTGGTTCTCCACAGCGCATTGAGAAAGATGGAGATTTTCATGGTTTGTGGGTCAAATATATTCCTCAATGATGAAGAAAATGCTGCGGGACAGGAAGAATCAATTAGTCACGTTGCTGCAACCCACAGCAATTATATTGTGGGCCCTAGATGATAACTAAAAGACCATTGTTTTTCACTAAAGCCATTTTGGACTTCCAGGAGGAAAGTAAAGTGTGGTATAAATAGAAAATGAAATGGAAATGAAGAATGCTTCCGGCCGGGTGTTTATCATAGGGTAGGTGTTCCACATGCATCCAAAAAATAAACTGCAGCATCCACATATGGTTGGCATCATAATTCTCCCCATCCTCCCACCACCCTTTAATCCGTATTTATCCTTTCCAGGAGGAATTTTTTCCTCAGATTGTATTTCTTTCTATCTGAATGCTATCACTATACATCATGGTCTATGGTCACCTTTTGACATTGTACTGGAGGCAAGTGCAAAGGGCAACTCATTTAATTATGTAGCAATCTAACAACATATTTTCAGCTTCCAGAAACCTATGAAGTTTGTTTGTTATCCTTGGCACCAATGTCATGATTTTAAAATGTTGATTTGCCCCCCATTTTATGGAATGCAATGGCCTACCAAAACCAACAAAGGGTTGAAATTATTTTCATTTTCTTCTTTTTGTTACAACGAACTAACCTGGTTACCTTCTGGAAATTGCCTACCAGTTACATTCGAACTTCATGAACCTCTACCTTTGGAAGCAATCTTGTGATGGTCATCTTTCCATCAACACTCTTTATGAGCTTTGCGCCTTTTGAAAAAGTAATAAAATTGTGAGCTAATAGGCATTCTAGCCTGGATGTCATGGCAGTGTCAAAGTTTGAGTGTTACTCTGCACTTCACAAGCAATGTGACACAAAGCCTTTGCTAAGCCTATTTATTTCAACCAAGATGACTGAACCTTTAAAAAAAACCAAAAAACCTGTTGTGAACACACCTGCATAGAAGTGGGAAAGGAATCTTGGCCACAAACTCAGCCTGCAGTGAATTTGTGGGCATCTATACTCAGCTTGCAGTAGAGGGATTTCCATGGAGTTAAGACGGATAGAGTGAGGAGCCTCCAGATTCCCAGACTATCCCTGTACCTTTTGCTCTATGCTGACCTCTCTATCTCTTTGCTGTTTAGACTGATACGTCTTAGGTTGTATCCCGTTTACAACTTCCTCCTCTTACTTCTCTCTTGGACCTGAAAATGAGAAGTCATCTTCAAGCTACCCTCTGAGAGAACAAAGGAGCAAGTGTGGCTGCCTCGTTCTTCTCCAGACTAGTTAGACTAGAACGAGAAAACTTTTATATCTAATAAACTATGTTGTTGTTTTCTTACCTACAAGCATCTCCGTGTGTGATCTCAACAGGCAAAATCTACTCTTTAACCAAAATTCACAAGGTCTTTAAAATAGGGTTGCCATATTTCAAAAAGTGAAAATCCGGACACAAAAGTTGTTGAGGTTTTTTTCTGGGCAAAATCACAAAAGAATTTTACATTTTTGAGCTTTTTCTAAGTAAAATTGCCAAAAATGGCATACATCTGGATTTTCCCGGACATTTTGCTGATTTCCGCCTGGACACTGCTTCTAGACATATGACAACCCTACTTTAAAACCCTAAACAAACTTGGCCCTGTATACCTGAAGGAACATCTTCACTCCCATAATTCAGCCCAGACACTGGGGTCCAGCTCCAAGGACCTTCTGGCAGTTCCCTCGCTGGAAGAAGTGAGGTTACAGGGAAGCAGGAAGAGGGCCTTCTTGGTAG